GTGCTTTGGGTGTACCAAACGTCACAAAGTAACTGGGTGACTATAAAGGTGCACTACAGGTATCTCCGAAAGTGTCTGTTGGGTTGACACGGATCGAGACTGGGATTTGTCACTCCGTATAACGGAGAGGTATCACTGGGCCCACTCAGTAGTGCATCATCATAGTGAGCTCAAAGTGACCAAGTGTCTGGTCACGGGATCATGCATTACGGTACGAGTAAAGTGACTTGCCGGCAACGAGATTGAACGAGGTATTGGGATACCGACGATCGAATCTCGGGCAAGTAACATACCGTCTGAAAAAGGGAATAGTATACGGGGTTGCTTGAATCCTCGACATCATGGTTCATCCGATGAGATCATCGAGGAGTATGTGGGAGCCAACATGGGTATCCAGATCCCGCTGTTGGTTATTGACCGGAGAGCCGTCTTGGTCATGTTTACATGTCTCCCGAACCCGTAGGGTCTACATACTTAAGGTTCGGTGACGCTAGGGTTGTATGAATATGAGTATGCAGCAAACCGAATGTTGTTCGGAGTCCCGGATGAGATCCCGGACGTCACGAGGAGTTTCAGAATGGTCCGGAGGTAAAGAATTATATATAGGAAGTGTTGTTTCGGCCATCGGGAAAGTTTGGGGGTCACCCGGTATTGTACCGGGACCACCAGAAGGGTCCCGGGGGTCCACCGGGTGGGGCCACCTACCCCGGAGGGCCCCATGGGCTGAAGTGGGAGGGGGAACCAGCCCCTAGTGGGCTGGTGCGCCCCCCTTGGCCCCCCCTGCGCCTAGGGTTAACCGTGAAGCGTTGGAAACCCTAGGGTGGGGGGGCGCACCACTTGCCTTGGGGGGCACTCCACCCCCTGACCGCCGCCCCCTTGGGAGATTCCCATCTCCAGGGCCGGCGCCCCCCAGGGGCCTATATAAAGGAGGGGGAAGGGAGGGCAGCCGCACCCTGAGTCTTGGCGCCTCCCTCCCCCTGCTACACCTCTTCCTCCTCCCGCAGCTGCTTGGCGAAGCCCTGCCGGAGTCCTGCTGCATCCACCACCACGCCGTCGTGCTGCTGGATCTTCATCAACCTCTCCTTCCCCCTTGCTGGATCAAGACGGAGGAGACGTCACGCTGACTGTACGTGTGTTGAACGGGGAGGTGCCGTCCGTTCGGCGCTAGGATCTCCGGTGATAGGATCACGACGAGAACGACTACCTCAACCCCGTTCTCTTGAACACTTCCGCACGCGATCTACAAGGGTATGTAGATGCATCTCTCTCTCTTGTTGCTAGATGAAATCATAGATGGATCTTGGTGAACGTAGGATTTTTTTTTATTTTATGCAACGTTCCCCAACAACCACCCCTGCCAAGGCCCGATTTGGACGAAGCTCTGCCCAAGACTGGCCAGACCAGCCACCGCGTTGTTCCCACGTCCCAAGGCCGTAGTACGCTGCCACCCGACGAGCCCCGACTCGCTCAGCATCAGATTCGGCCAACTACAGTCGCCCACCCCGCAGCTGCCGCCAAACAAAGAAGGCCTACGCCGCCCCCGTCTGCCATGCGGGCTTCGCCCCCAGCGCCCTCCGGTGGCGACAGGGAGATCAGGAGGAGGGAGGGTTCTTGCTGGCGGAGGCTAGGTTAGCCGCCTAGCAGAGCGACGCATAGGCATTTCTGTTTTTCCTGCATCAACCAGATCCAAAAGCAACGTTATTTATCCCATGGAGGCTGGACTTTCGAATCTCGCTTACTTAAACAGTGCTACAATCATTTTTATATATATTTCAAACATTAAAAAACATATAGCTAGGTAGGTTTATTGGATAATTTGAACACTCTAGTAATTATAGGGCGCCTATAGTCATGCATATAGTTCAAACATAAAACACAAATAGCTATGTTCATTAGATAGTTTAAACACACTAGTAATTAAAGGATGCTACAATGATGCATAATATAGTTCGAACATAAAACATTCCTAAAAAGTTAGTTAGTACTTATGTAAAACTAAAGATAACAACTAATTAATTAAACTAGCTACAACAATCAGCCCTCTCCATCTAGCAAGTGGCAGTGGCACTCTCGCAGTCCACCTAGTCAGAGTCGTCACCCCCACGCTGGAGGGCCGGTCCCGTTGTTGTCCCTGGTAGACCTACCCCCTCGTTCCTGATGAGTGGCTGGCTCTATGGGATCCTCCTTCGTCTTCTTCCTTGCATCGTACATCATGGACACCATCTTGTTCTAATCCACGACTTGAGGATCCATAGACAGACGCCTCACTTAGGTCGAAGAATACGTATTAACCCAAAGGTGCTCCTTATACTAAGACTTGGAGCATATCTTCATTTTCTTTAGCACAAGGAACTGCGCGTACTCTCGTTCCTCATGGAAGTTAAGACATGCCTTAGCCTTAAAGAACTCCACCGCCTTGGGATCGTAGGCGTGCGCCGAGAGCTCTAGGGTGTTCCAGTGGCCAAGGTGGTGTGTCACACAATCCTTGGTAATATCCGCATACCGTTTATTGCCCTCCTATCTCAAAACATGATACTTCGGCGTCATCTGTGATGCTGACAATACCTAACAAGTTAATAAATAATTGCATTCTAAAATTGCCAAAAGAAATCGACATGACCTTGCCTACAAATTGAACATACTGAGCACTTAAATTTGACGAAATGGATATTAATCAACATCACACCAAAAACTTGGCACTCATTTTGAATACCTGCAAAATTTGATTAGAATATCGAACACACTATTGACCGAAACTATCTAAACTAACTACACTATCTAAACTTTCCAAAGTACATAAGCTAGTTACAATATCCAAACAAACTACACTATCTAATAATCTACACTATAATGTACCTAAACTATTTAAAATTCCTAAATTACCTAAGCTAGCTAAATAATCTATACTATAATGAACCTAAAATATCTAAATAGTCTACATTATAATGTACGAAACCAAAACGATGGCGGCAACCAGGGCTCATTGTCGGCAGGCGGTGCGGTGGCAACGGAGATGGGGGAGGTGGCAACAGTGGCGGCGTGAGAGTGCAGCGGCAGTGGGCGCATGGAGAAGGAAGAGGTGGGGAGAGAGTGAGAGAAAGGGAGAGTTACGATAAGGCGGGGTTAGAGCCGCCCGACGCTGGTGGCGTGGGCTATTCCAACCCACATCATCGGTATGTTTTCCAGGTTTATTTGGTTTATTTTACTTATTTTATTTTTAATTTGGTTAATTTTTTTAAGTTAATGTTTAATTTAAGTTTTAATATGGAAATTTCTTATTTTTTATATGGGTTAATTTCATATATACATTTTATTAGGTTATGTTAAATTTCAGTTTTATTTTGGTTATTTTTATTTATGTTTTATTAAGGTTAATGATTAATTACATTTAAACCATTTGGAATTAGAAATAACTTTGTATATGAAAACATAGTGCATTTTCATCAGCTTTCCAATGCCATATCATTTGCATCATACGGATGAAGCTTTTTAAAAAAAGGTAAAAATACGATCTCCGTTGTTTGGTTTGAAAATTCATCATTTTTAAAATTCTCTTCAATTGTACGGAAATTGAGAAACATTTCTATATAAAAATGAACACATCTGCAGCAGCTTTCCAACGCCATATCATTTGTTTTGTTTTGCTGAACCATTTAAAAATGAGCTCGAAAATATTATCAAGTTTTTGGTGAAATAAACATGGTTTTCAAAACTGCTTTTAAACCATGGACATTTCGGAAAATTTTCAACATAGATTATGATCGCCATGTCCATAAATTTCCCATGATATATCACAAGCACCATCTGAACAATTTTGCAAAAGTTCAAACTATGCATATAATGCAGTTCAACTACTGTTTCCTTGGAGGAGGGGAGGGCCACCTTCCTTGCATGTCTTCTCACACCGATAGATTAGTACCAAATGGCAACTGTCCAACCCTATAACTAGAAATACCTCTAGCCTAGACTTCTCTACACTATTATCTAAGGCCTAGCTATTTTCTTACTATGCCTAAATACCTAACTCTAGAGCTTTCCATAATTCTAGAAGTCTTCCTAAATATTTTTGACAATAATTATCCATGAAGTTTAAGAACCTTCTTCTCAAATATATTTGTTGCTCATGAAATACTCCTCCCATGCTCTAGAAGCTTCTCACTTTAGCATGAAGCACTTTCTTCGGTATATTCCACGACAAAATATCTTGGACTTCAGGAGATCTCACGAACCTTCTCGAATGACAAATGAACCTTGTTGTTTTAGTGATCTTCAATAATGGAAAAATGTTGCTAAACACATCATCTCAAGGTTCTATGGAAAGTCATGACATGGTCGCAAGAGGGTCACACTTCGAGGGAGGGTATGCAACAAAAAACTGATGATGATGGAGAGATATAGCAGGATCGATGGGGTGATACACCCTTCGAAAGAATTTTGAGGTAGATTAGCTTGATAAGTTTAGGCTCTCAGGAAGAGCACTATCATAGCAAACCAGATCACTCTAATGTACTCTGGTCCAAGAGCGCAAGTTGAGCGTGTTTCCAAGATTTATTCCAATAAATACTTTTGGACTTTGGCTACACTTTATTTCAACATTTGAATGATACATCGAAGCTAATGCGGTGATAAATAGACTTGAACCATTATTTTTGTTGAATATGGGAGATTTTTATTTTCTTGTTGTCGTTTCAAAGGAAGTTCAACCGAATACAAATGCACACCATGGAAGAAAAATACGTGGGCAAACTCACTTAAATACCAGATTCATAGTCATAGGATATATGATGGAACTTTTATTCAATGGTAAACAGAATGACAACACCGTCCAAATAGATGTGAAAATAATAATACAAAATCCAGTTCACATGAAAGCCCCAAGTAACATCGGTATAATGCTTAGTAGTCCATAGAAATATTTGGGTTCATAACCATGACATTTAGATATTGTGCTAGAACTGAGCAGTCTCATAGGCCTAGTTTCCTGTTGGTATATGTTTGCATCAGTTATCGTCTTGGGGTTGAAGTCGAATGTGGTAGCCCTGCGGGAACATAACATCTCCACTTCTGAATACATCTGTCTGTTTCATTTCTTCCCATCTGTGTAGGAACTAGGAAGTTAAAATTGCAAATTGCATATCCCATCCGTGCATGAACAATCTGACGAAAGCAAGCAACATATAAGCTTTGGGGAGTGAAAGGCACTCACCTATACTCGGTCACCAAGACATGGATGGTAATTGTTACGAGCAGCTTGACAAACTCTGCGGCAGGACAAACCCTGATGCCTGCTCCGAATGGCATGAAATTCTTCAGCATTGCGCTGCGCTTTGACTCATCCTATGTTTTTCGATTTGTCCAATTTATTTACATCCAACATTGGTGCCAACCAAATTTCTTAATTAAATTGGGTAGAAAACAGGGAGTAGAATCAAAAGAATTAATTCTTCACTAACCATCCACCTCCATGGGTTAAATTTGAGTGGATCTTCGAACAATTCTCCGTTCAGATGAACTGCCATGGGGTTGACTATGACCAGCCATCCAGCAGGAATTGTATAGCCTGCAGGAAGAGGGAATCAACACATACATTAAGCAACAACCACCTTGGAAGTTATTGGTATATAGAACTCTACTGATTTGTTAGCCAATGGAATAAATTACTACTCCCTCCGTTGTCTAATTCCTGTCGTGCTTTAATTTTGAACTAAAACCATGAATTATGTAACGGAGGGAGTAGTATATTGTAACGTTTCTGAGTGTTTACCATTGACTTGTGCATCTGTAAGAGCTTTCCTAAATACTACAAGTGCGGCATTGCTTATTCGAATGATCTCATTGGTCACCTTCATTAAAAGTCAAACATAAACTTTTTGTCAAATTTACAAAGCTACAACAAAAAATAGGAATACACCCAGTTGTAATCAATGTTTTTAAAAAGCATGTACCTGATTAGTGAATGTCAATGACTTGTACTCCTCCCATGTGAGCCCGGAGCGCCCACCCTTTCGACCATTGAGCATAGCTCGGTTCTCCTTCTGTGTAAAGTGCATGTTTTTAAGTTATTATTAATTGTTTTGCATGCAGCTCTCAGAATCTTTTTACTCCCTTCATTTTATTACATATGCCATCAGTATACAATGAAGATGACCAGAACAGTATTACTACCTATATATAGTATTTCCTCCATCTGGGTTTATTAATCCCCTTATATATTTTACATCAAATCATTTTGATCATAAATTTGACTTATAAAATATATTTTGTACGTTAAAAATTACACTACTGGAAATACATACGGGGTAATACATACTGTACTAGCTAGCAGAGAAAGATCATTCATCCTACCAACCAACCTGGAGCGCGTGGACAACGTCCGGGTTGTCATGGAGTGACTTGAATGCTACAGCGATGGTTCCTGACAGCGTGAAGACGCTGGCGAACAACAAGGTGGAGAGCATATCAATAGCAAAATCCTCACTTATTGATGGCTCTTCACCCTGCAGCTCCTCGACGATTATGTCGAGGAGGTCGCCATGTTTCTTCCCTGGTGCACTTAACCTCTCTGCCAACGTATCCCGCAGTGTCTTGTGAATATTTTTCCGTGCCTGCACGCACACCGTAAGGAGATTATGTTGCCAGCTCTTGATTGATTGAAGTAAAACCAAAAGGAAAGTTAATTATTACTGTACTTAGCTAGTACTCCCTCCGTTCCTAAATATAAGTCTTTTTAGAGATTCCACTATGGTCTACATACGGAGCAAAATGAATGAATCTACACTTTAAAATATATCTATATACATCCGCATATAGTTTGTAGTGTAATATCTAAAAGGACTTACATTTAGGAACGGAGAGAGTAGTAGTTTATATACCTGCATGCATCGGTAAAATGGTGTCCCAGGGAAATATATAGGGAAGGAGAAGAGCCCTGAGAAAAGCGTGTCGAACTTGCTTCTCAGCTCCCTGGACTTTGTGGAATCGAAACCCAGGCATTTCCTGGTCACCAGCTCGAACATAATCTGAAACGTCGACGACAGTAGCTATAGCTAGCACTTGCATATATACAATGCATACACTGAAATGAATGAACATTGCAGGAAGGGGATGGAGCAACAAGGCAAGGCACTTACATTGGGGGCACCGCCACGAACGTCGACGCTGGGCATGGCGGCCCACGCGGCGAGGCGCTCCCTCACGGCGGCCTCCATCTCAGGGAGGAGCGTCTCCTTGAGGGTCTGGAGGCCGAACAACATGTAGGCGCATCGACGGATGAACTTGTGGATGGTGCCATGGAAGGCCTCGATGCTCTTCTCGCCGAATATCTTGGTGAGTGCCCGAGGGTACCCAAGACGGAACATGGTGCCTTCCTGCTGGAGGATAAACCGGTTGGGCTCCGCGTCGGTGGAGATCACCGCCGGCTGCCCCAACAAGCTCGTCTTGAAAACCGGACCATACCTGCCCAAACACGCATGTGGCAATCAGTACTTGTGTTTATTTGCAAAAAATGAAAAGTGACACTACACTAGTATACCTCTTCATCCTTAGTTTGAAGTAGTCTGGGATGTCCAAGGAAGGGCTTGCCTTGAGGAAGGCCAAGGTCTCACCAATAATGGGGAAACCCATGGAGCCGGGAGGAAGAACCCCGTTGCAGAAAGGGTTCATCCATCTGTATACCCAGTGTACTAGCCATCCACTCACAAGCGTAACCCCACAGAGAGCTACGCATCGAGCAAAAGAGATGTCCATCTCCAAGATCTCAAGTGCAACTAGTAAGGAAATGAAATGAGCGAGGGGTGTGGTTTAGTTGTGTGCGGATTGTTGGTCTTTAGATGCTTATATAGAAAAGTATGTTTTCAGAATACTTATATAGACAAGTGTTATGATGATTAATTCATAGGTGACGTACGTGTGACTTCTATTAACTACTTTAGGTAGGTGTCTGGCTGGTATCGATACCTAACTTCGTTTGTCAGGGCAGGTAATGGAAATGGAGTATTATGTAGGAGTAGCATACTGTGCTTATGTATAGGTTGCAAAAATCTGAAGATGCTAGTACGTGAGTTTGCTGCCTAGCTTCTCCATCGGTGTTTGTCTTGTTTTGTTTGCGTGGTTTGGTGCACTATGGTCAGTCTTCCTTTCTATTTTGTGCTTGTATTTTTTTTACTTCTTTTCAATTATAGTAGTCGTCTGTTTTATCTTGCAGTATTTACAAACTGGAAGCATCTTTCCAAGCCTAAACTAATCCGTTAGGTATACCTTAGCCTTTGTTTCGATGAGACATTCAAAGACTCTGAATTGCATTGGCTCCAATATCAAATCTCTCCAAAACAATGATACCGACATTCAACCCGAATTTAGATGTTTGGATGTTCATGAGCCTAAATGTAACATGTCTGCTATATCTTAGGATCTGTTTGGATGGCACATTCAAAGACCTTAAATTGCATTGGCTCCAATACCAAATATCAAATCTCTCCACGACACTGATACGGATATTCACCCTGAATTATTGTGTTTGGATGTCCATGCATCTGGCACATGGAATTCAAGGGGAGAGAGACCAACAGCTCCTGTTTGGATGGTCAAGAGATTGTATAATTGCCCATTGATGCTCATTGTCGAATGTTATTCGTGAAGCTTCGTGATATGTTAGAAATCCCGATGTGAGATTTAGTGGCATCTCCGTGAATCAACATCTTGTTCACTATGCTAGTTTCCTCATTACCCGTTTTTTTTCTTTTTTCTCGTTCCCGCTTTCCGGCATCCCCGTGATCAAATCACGCTTTGTCTGGCTAGACGATGATGGATACCCTAACACCAAGAGGGCCCAAAGAATATCTCTCCATCGTCGGAGGAGAAAATCTCAATCTTCAGCTATCTAGTCCCTTATTATACTTTTCCAAGAACCCGAAAGCCGCCGTAATAGTCACCCTGTTTACGGATGATGTTTAACTAACCTCCAAAGTTCATGAAGCAATCATGAAGATACTCGATACACTCATGGTCTAAGAAATTATGCAAACACTAACAATAATTATGTTATTAATCATTAACTTGTGACGAATGTATCTCATAGCATAACATCAATTTGGGTTGACTGAACACAAGTGTTCTTCTAACTGTGTCATCAAAATTGTCAGCATAGTCATGCCCATGATCAGGAAAACGTGACAATCATGCAACACTTGAGCTAGTCTTAGATGCACGACTAGGAATGCATTTTACCGTTTATTATTTCACACGTGCATATGGGTTTCCCTCTGAGACTTTATGGATATACAAACTCAAGGACCCTTGCGGTTATAACAGAAAATATAAACTTAATCACGAACTTTGAGGTAAAAATAGTTGTTATTATTGCCTCTAGGGCATATCTCCACACCTCGCAGGGGCATTCCAAGGACTTCATTGTCACACACAATTTTAGGGGTCCATACTCTTCGATTAAACCAAATCCTCAGTGATATTTACTTGTGTATACACACAAAAATGTTAGCTCTTAACGATTTTTTCATTTAATCATCCAAAACAATAGGGGCACTAGAAGCACTTATAAAAGCAATTACTTATAAATACACCACAAACTTAGCCTTTCCATAATTCGATTGACCAACAAAAAACATATGTTAATTCAGTTGGCGAGGATCATCTTCGTCGAGCACATTTCTAAGTGGAGGATTCGTCATCTTTGATTCAAGAAGACTCTCTTGCGGGTGGACGAGGAGAATAATCTAGATATAGTATGGACAAGGACAAGGCCAACTTCGAGGATCGTGTTGGAGGGAGGAGAAACAGTGGCAACAGCTCGGACGACATGGCATGAGATGGGAGCTTTGTCTCGCTTACTGCGAAATGTAGCTTTTCCTCGCCTATCACGCCGAGTGTGCCCTCGCCTTAGTGGGCCGGCCCATCAAAGTGGTTTTGAGAAGGTTCTGTAGACGTGTATGGACCGGTTCTAGAATATTCCATGCGGGTTTTTTATTTTCTGTTTTTCTATGTTTCTTTATCTGGATTTTATTTCAGTTTTTGCTTTCCTATTTTTCTCATTTCCTTTTTTCCCTTTTTTATTTTTCATTTTTAATCTTTACAAATACGTGCCTACTTATTTTATACTCCCTCCGTTTCTTTTTAGTTTGCATATAAGATTTGGTCAAAGTCAAACTTTGTAAGATTTGACTAACTTTATAGAAAAAACATCAACATTTACAATTCAAAAGTTATATGATAAGAAAATTAATTTCATCATGCATCTACTAATATTGATTTCATAGTGTGAACGTAGATATCTTTTCCTAAAAAGTTAGTCAAACTTTACAAAGTTTGACTTTGAGAAAATCTAATTTGCAAACTAAAAAGAAACGGAGGGAGTAAAAGTTGCATATTTGTTTACACTCGGGGAACATTTATTTGATACACGTTGTAGATTTTTTTTGATACATGAGAAATAATTTTTTCAAATACATGTTTGAACATTTTTTCGAATACACATTGTATTTTATTTAATGTTACAAAACATGTTTTTCCAAAATTACCCGAACATACTTTATTATATATATATAATTTTTGGAAAATTTCACTAACATATTTTTGAAACGTGTGAATATTTTTTAAATGTCACCTACAATTTTGGAATGGTATAAAACATTCTTTTCACATTACACGGACATTTTTTACATTATGTAATTTTTTAAATGTCATAGACATTTTTCAAAATGCTTGAATATTTTTAAATGTGATGAATATTTTATGATTGGTATGGATTTTTAATGGTAAACTGATTTTTTTTATTGTTCAATGATTTTTTTAAAAAATTAAGAAAGTAATTTTGAAATATCTATGTTCAAAATTTTCGGAAAAAATAGGGAAGATAGAAAAACGAACTGAACTAACGTACCAAAGGTGTTGTGATAATTTGGAAGCATGAGCGCTTTCCAAGATGGAGGTTTCATCAACCTGACTTACTTGTGCGCCGGCAGCACCATGCATAGTGATCGCAGACGCGGTGATCGGGGCCGGTCGTTCTCTGGAGCAGCATCAGCGGCCACCGGGTAGGAAATCCAAAGGGCGAAATCGGGAGATTGGCCATCCCTATATGTTTGTGCTACTGTCTCGGATGCAGACACGGCGGCCGCCCCTTCAGTGTTGAGACCAAGCACCCGAGTCCAGATGCAGCACCATCTGAACTCTGTTGTTGTAACTCCATGGTATCCATGAGAGAAATTCAGGCTGTCCCAGTGAGAAAGTGAATCAGGAGTTTGCGAGCTCTGAAAAATCCAGATTCAGCCGTGTCGACTCCCCCCACCGGCGACCGAGCCCGCTAAAATGTCCATTCCCAAGAGCAATCTGTAATAACCGCCACAAAATTGATAACTAATCTGGAATAACAGTGCATCAGTATGTATTACAGACAGCCGTATTGCAATTCCGCAACCAGAAAAGATATCATGAATGAAAGATGAACCAACAAAAGAATTTGAGCTTCAGCCAAAATGCTACCTTTTGCTAGCAACTCCCAAGGCAGTTCTAGTTTTGTTAGCTACGCTTATTTCGCAGTATGGCCGCGCCGCGAAACAAACAACCGTGTAATATGTTGTGACCTATTCTATGCCGTATCATCTGCCAAACACTTCAGGAAACGTTCGAATCTCCTGCTAACTTGGTCCAGTGTGCGCTACTTTATTTCTTTCACTCTCTCTGGAATGAGGCATAGCAAAACAATCACTCCGTGCTGTTAGAATAGAGTACGTAGAGATAGCTGTTTAAACTGTTTCATGTTTCTATCTCTTCTTCTCTTCTGTTCTTCCTCTTCAAGTCATATCTCTCTCTCTCTCTCGATGTATTCTGGAAGCATCCTAGCGATATTCCAAACCTTGTAAGCCACGCCAACCCTTCTATAAATACACATGCGGCCTGAGCAAAGGGTTCAACGCTTCCTATCAAATCTTACATGGTCATCAGAGCCTTCCTCTCGTATGTCTAGCTTTCCTGAAAGATCGATCTAGTTGATCGAGAGAGAAACCTGAAACCTATCCAGAGAGAGGTATCGAGAGAAATCATGTCAGGCACCAACGCCAGCACCGCTGCTTCCACCATCGCCGCCACCAATAGCGCCCTGGTCGGTTCCACCATGAGCACCCTGTCCACCCAATCCGCACCATCCACCTATGCATCTTCCTCCACCTTCAGCAGCGCCTCCTCTCTCGGGTCTCCTCCATCTGAGAAGCTCACGAGGACGAACTTCCTCCTCTGGAAGGCCATCGTGCTACCCCAAATAAAGGAGCACAGATGGAGCACTTCCTGGACGCCGCAAGCCCGGCGCCCCCTCCTACCATCACCATCACCAAAGATGGGAAAGAGGAGCAAGTCTTCAACTACGCCCGATCGATCTGGTACGCCCAGCAGCAACAGGTACAAGGATACCTTATGGGGTCTCTGTCACGTGAGATTCCTACGCACGTAGCTACCCTTCAGACGCCGGCCAAGGTGTGGAGTGCCATCCACGCCTCCTTCGCTGCCCAGACGCAAGCGCAAATCGTCAACGCCCGCATCGCCCTCGCCAATCTGCACAAAGGGAACATGGGCATGCCTGAGTATCTGGCAAAGATCAAGGCCTTCGCCGATGAGATCGCCTGCACTGGTGATCCCTTCTCTGAAGGAGAGCTAACCTCCTATGTGCTCAAAGGGCTGGACATCGAGTATAACCCGGTGATCTCAGCCCTGGCTGCACGTATTGAGCCGGTGACCGT